TAAAAGATTAGAATTTTGGAATTTGGAACATTGACTAAATAAATTAGGCCGGGGCTTGTTTGGTGGAGTAATATAAGCTGTCTAGAAAATCAATGTATACATGATTGTTTATTATTTTTCGTTTTTACTTTGTAAAATGTAGTAATAATAGTATAAAAAAGTTGGAATGTATTTTATGAATTATTATTTTAAAATAGGTATTACGTGTAATTTCCTCTAACTTAAACCTCATGGTGTCAATTGAGTCGAGCTCTATCAAGCCAACTGGAAAGTGGGTCGAACCAACTGGTTACGAGCCTGAGTTGGCCCGAGTTTTGTGGGTGATCGAGCTTGAATTTCTCAATAGCCCATCTTGGCTCGTAGGCTTACCCAAACAAGAACGGGCCTATGACCCGTTTGAGACGAGAATACCTATAGGCCCATATTTAGTATATAATTATATGAATGCAACATTTTTCGAGAGAGGTTAAAATATGCGAGCTTTAATGCATTAGTTGAAGAAAATTGGTGTTTGATGTAGCTTAAAATTTTGATAAAAATTTAAGTTAAGGTCAAAAATTAATTTTATTAACAAAATTTATGAGAACCACAAATTTTTGCCCTTGTTTGAGCCTCATTATTTTATCAAAATATATTCTTCAACAGTGATTTAACCTCATTTTAACTACATATTCTTCATTAAAATAATATTACACTCAAATCCAAAACTTTTTTTTTTATTTTTAACCACAAATTTTACATCAATACACTATTCAAAAATGCATTTTTTTTGACAAGAATGAAACTCAAACAAGGGCTTTAACTATACATTTCATTAAATTTTATTTGAAACATACTAAAAATCTAATTTTTAGCTACACCAAACAGAGACCAGATTTTAGCATAATAAGAATCTTGTATGACACCAACATGTTATTAGATATAGTCCGTTCCAAATCCAATGTTTGTATTTCGTTGAGAAGAATTTTGGTGATGGAGTTTTTCCGTCTTGTTCATAGGGTACATAATATAGACAACAACGCGGCTTTAGGGATTGATCTATCAAATTATCTTTTGTTAGCGAGTTACCTAAAATATTGCCTTTTTAATATTTAAGTAGGTTCGGTATTTTATGACATAAAATACAGTAACATTGATATTTTTTCTTTAAAAAAAAAATCTAGTATTTTCTTGAATTGTTATTGATTCATAATGGGTCTAGTTATAAAAATTTCCATTTATTTTATGCTTTTTTTCAAAAAAAAAAAATGAAAAATGAAAAAAGGCTCTCTCGAGCTGGCCCTCACGGTCTTGGAACCAAGAGCCACTGGAGCTGTGCCAGTGAGCCTAATACTAACTCTAGTCCAGTAAGGCAGTAGGTCCGGCCACGGTATGTGCGGATTGATCACGTCGATAGTCGGGCTTTTCATGTCGAACTTAGACTGTCCCACCATGTGGGCCCAAGACCTAACAATTTTCCATTTCTTGATGAACATTGTCATTGATCACTACAATGCTTACAAATTTGCATTTTGACACAAAAAATACAATTCAATGAACGTCTATTTGATTTATCTCACTAAACTGTGTATATATAAGACTTGTGTCTGTATCGAAGATTGATCCTCAACATTTTAAATAAATTAAAAACTAAACATCACTATCTATAAGAATTTAAAATAGAAATTGAACCGACTTTGAGTCTTGATGAGTATGTCTAGTAGAAACCTGTTCAATTATAACATTTGAGTCTTGACAAGTTGGTCTAGTAGAGATTAATCCAACTCAATCAAATTAGAATGGTAGAGACTCGACAAGTTATCGAAGTCACTCGCTGGAAGGAACACACAAAGTCATACACCTTTTATTTTAAAATGTCAAGTCATCTATAGGAACAAATAACATGTATATTTCACCATTAATTTCACTACCCAATTATCATGAATTTCGATAACGGTTATAGAAGAAAAAGTTATTCGAAATAAAAATATTAGAAGTGCGATTAACTTACAAAGTGTATCACTAGTGGCCCAACATGCATGCATGAACTTTTAACGGAGCAAATGTAAGAATTTTCCATAAATAAGAGACACTTTCTTGTAGAGTTCAACCCAATAATTTTTTTCTCTACCTTTTCTTGAACGTTGATGATCAATCATACCTATTACCTCGACATCAAATTCTTGTTCAACCCAATACTCTATTATAAGGAACATCGTAGCAAAACAAGGTTTGTTATCTCTCCCTCGAAGAGCTTCTGGCCTCCAGCCTCGCCCCTCAATAACCCCATCGGGTGTTTACATGGATTAGATCAGAAGCCCTTGAGGGAGAGTAAACAACCATTGCATTGAAAATTTCCCCTCTCTCTTTTTTTTTTCTATGATTTATACTTTGCTCAGTAGAAAGAATTGGACTACGTCCCCTGGGTTCAACCTTTTTTTTTAGATAATTAATTTATAAATAAAAAAGAAAAAATAATAAGGCCAAATTGGTGGGGTCTCCATATCTTTGGTACTTGGCATTATTCCCAACACCAAATCTCATTGGCTAATCTTTTGAATTAGATATATCATTAAAAAGTAGCCACAAAATCAACTTAGTACGGATTATATATGATATACTCGACTAACCAGATTAAAGAATAAAAAGTTAGAATTTTATATATTATAGCGTACAAACATATCCAAATTCACTTTAAAACGTTGACGAAATTGTAGAGCATTTTCACCGTTTTCTTTTTAATATTGTACAATATTATACCGTTTATCTTATCTAACAAGTCGTCGTTACGGTCCTTAAACAAGAATAACATTAAGTGTTGCAATTGAGAGGAAAAAAAAAAAAAAAGCAAAAGGTTCAAAGTCTTGACCCCTTGGACACATTGACAAGGCAATGATTCTTGATTAAACAAAGAATATAGCAACTTTTAATCCTTAAGGCAGCTTTAATACTGCCCTTGTTTCACGTGAAACATTACTCTCTTTGGTTGACACATTTGACATTCTTCTATTATTGTTTTCCATTTCTCCCCTTTTCGTGTCTATATATTCGGTTGCGTATCTTACCAATTGGTGAAGGATGAGATCCACACTAACATTGTAATACATATGTTATTTCACTATTTCCATTCCGTTTTCTAATTCCACTAAACGTCAATACAAGCCACAATATCGTTAGAAGAAGACATCGAGTGGTATATGTCCTTTGAACACTCAAATTAAGAAACGAAGAATATTTATCTCTTTATTTCGTTTTATGCTTCAGTCCAATTAAAATTTCAATTGTGTCAATATCACTAATTAGCATTGTTGAACTCAAAAAATAAATAATATTTTTTAAAACCACCGATAGTTTTTTCGTCTCAATTTGGTGTGGTTTCCCCTTTTTTGATGAAATTTTGGATGCGTTTAAGAAGTCAATTGTTTATATGAGAGAGATAGAAGTTTTAGCGCCCTTTTAGTTAGAAATTGTATATCGATCTAATATTTTAATTTTCGAGAGATCTGACCCTAGATATTCTTTCAATTTGTGTAGAGAAAAATTTGGATATAAAATTGTCAATTTGTAATAGTCTTATTTATTGATGATTTTATGAAAATTTTAGTCATTTTCATGAGTTGACCTTCTTCCTTTATTATAACAAAACTCATGGTTAAATCTCAATTACAAATCTTGTTAAGGTTTATCCTTTCCGACACTTATTCAATAGTTCTTTAATTACACACATAATTTAGTGTACTAACTTTTATGTCGACTTTGTTAGAGTTCTCCATTAGGTTTTTATCCATTTTCGAGGCCATTGGATGCCTTTTATCCAAGGCTGGCGGGTTTTACAATCACGTTTCTAGCCAAGTATTAAGGTTTCACATACTTCTTTGCTCAAGGAGCCTTGACGATGGAGGCACCTTTCGCTTCATTGTATATTATCAATCGAGACACAAATATTCAAATACACGTGGACACACATTGAGATTCTTTTATAATTGATGTGAGATCTAGGTGAACAATAATTATTTCAATGCGTAACAACCATCATTCTAAGTTCTTGCTTACTTTCTGTACCACCTTCCTCCAATGTTGATGTATGATTATTTATAATCATACATATATTATGGATTTTGGTGTGCACATACTCTCAGTTGGGTAATGATCATAGTGCCTTTCAAAAACTTTGTCAAACAAAAGCTAAAGTCGCAGCATGAAAAGCGGTTTTGATGTGGTACAAAATTTAGTTGGAACTGGAGATAATTTGAGTGTTTGGAACGGTAGAGGAGCAGGATTTGCGCCAAATGCCATATTCCCATCCGTCTTTTTGGCGCGAAAATCAATTAACCTTAGTAAAACAAATTAGGGTTTTCAATTTTGTAGAGCTCGAAATATCACTTTCATTAAGCTAGTGGATTTTTCACACTGCATCAAGAATGGCTACCACACGTGCTTCGAAGCGTAGGCGCTTGAACGGGAACGAACTTAAAGGAAAAGAAGAAGATAAACAGGTAGAACAAATAATGGAAACTGGTACTGGAAAAACAATTGAGAAGTTATCGACGGGGGAGAATAAAGGGAAATCACCTTTGGTTGTCTTTGCTCATGGCGCTGGTGCTCCGTCATCCTCTGATTGGATGGTTAGGTTGGTCCCGTTCTCTCTCCATGTATATGTGAGGTCGTATATTGATTTGCATATTTTGATGATTATGCTTTCTTTTATTTAGATTTAAGACAGTTTAGTATATAATTGTGAAACATGAATTATTTAAAAATAGAATGAAATTTAGGCATGTCTACGCTACAGGCAGTTAAAATGAAATTGAGGAAAAGCTGCCACAGGCAAGTGTAGAAAGATTCCACTATGGTATGAGAATTATAATCTCTCTTTGAATACACAAGGAGATAACAATAATTAATTTCTCTATGAGAAACAAAGTAGGCACTTGGGAGAAACCAATATTTTCTACAATATCTCAAAAGATTGCCCTTTGAATCGTTATTCACTTGTTGATAGATGCAATTCGCTGTAAAAATCTTCCTCTATTTATATGGAAAACATAATGTTCATTAAAAGTTTCCTATTGCAATATTTCAACAATGAGATTGTATCTCTATGCTAAGATTTCAACAATCAAATTGTATTGGGTGAAGAAATCAACATCCAATTTAATGCACTGCAGTTCATCATTTTTCCCCCATGCACAAAGTGAAGACTTTTCCATATTGAGCCAAATGACTTTACAATAGCATTTAATATCTTCATCCATTTGCTGTTCACGTATATGACTCTCTGCAGTTGATGTATGCTTTTTTAGGGAATTTGTCAATTTAAGATGATTGTTCGAAATGCAATACATTTCTTTGAAAGAGTTAGTTGAATTTTTTGCAGAGTATTACAGTGTGCGTGTGTTGCTGAAGTATTATTAGAAAACATAAAGAATGGTTTCTGTAAAGGGACAAAAATCACTGTGTGTGGGTGGGGGAGGTGAGGTGGGGTGGGGTAGCTATAGACAATGTAGAGAGTTACATTTCCTTTTTTTTTTTTGTTTTGGGGTGTTGGGGGTTGAAATGGGGTGGCTACATATTGATGTTAGATTGTTGGTTGCACTTTGAAACATATGAAGGTAATAAAGAAAATTATCAGCTGTATATTTTGCCATGATTTAAATGAGTCTTAAAAGAATGAGTAGAATTAGCTACTCTGTTTCATAAAACATCATATAATTCTTGTGTCGCATTTTACAGAAATTTGAATAAGAAAAAAATAAGGAGCCTGTCTCGTGAAACTGCGTATGGTTTTTGTTACAAGTTTTTGCTTTGTTCAGATGGAAAGGCATGTTGGCCAAGGCATTGAATGCTGTCGAAGTAGTAACTTTTGACTACCCTTGTAAGTCTATGCTTCTCTCTCTCTCTCTCTCTCTCTCTCTCTCTCTCTCTCTCATCTTCCTCAGTGATTCTAACTCTTTGACATTTATTTGTACAGTGTGAGACAAATGGCATTTGTCTCATAGGATCACAAATAATAAGTCAAAAAATTATAAAGACAATTTACATTATAATTCTTAATTATATAACTTTTAAAATCTTACAATTATTTTGACTGCTTTAGATTTGTAAAAGAGCTCGTGAATTTGACCATCTGAGTGTTGCAGACATTGCTGGAGGAAAACGGAAGGCTCCTCCCAAGGCGGAAAAATTGGTTGAGTTCCACTCCGACATTGTGAGAAAGTCCATGGCTAAGTACCTTGGCCATCCACTGATCTTGGCTGGGAAGTCCATGGGATCGAGGTAATGGTTACTGTCATATCCGAAAATCTTTGTTTGTGGTATTGTAAGATGCTTATTTTCCGAAAATAACTTCTATGAGTAAATTTTCTGCTGTTTAAGGGAAAAAAAAAGATTGTAGGATTTGTTCTATTGAAAGTTTTTAGTTGCACTTGTGATGTTCAATGCTTACTTCACTCAACTAACTTTTCCTTTCGAATAAAGGGTACTCCAAGAATTTTTGGTTCCACAACACTTCTTTTTGAGTTTTTGTTTATCTTTTTCACACTATAAGCATCAAACAAAATTTGGGATTGAACAAAGAGGAATCATCACAATATAGTCGACTCCACTTGTTGAATTTTACTACTGTTTATTAAACAGTGATCATGAAATGCCTCCAGATATTTAGGCTTGCCTTTAATTATATTGTATTCATATTGGAGAAATTTGGGCTAAAAGGCTGAAGAATCCATGTTGCACTGGTAAACTGTTCCAAATTTGTATCAACGTAGTGCACAGAGTCCTCCTTGTATATGCAGGGTCAGCTGCATGGTAGCAGGTGGAGAAAATATAGCTGCTGCAGCTGTTATTTGTTTGGGATACCCATTAAAGGTTCGTCAGTTTTTTCATCTTAGTTTCTATAGTCTATGGCTTCTATCTTGCTGCATGTTGGCCTTCAATGCCCATAAATGTTCCTTTTCCATGTTGATGTTGATCCTTTAAAACTTAGAACTCTGGTCTCTTGCTTGTTCTTGTTAGAGAGGGACAACATGTATTCATTTAAATCCTATCTTCAACACTTCTATATAGTCTGCAAATGGAATAACGGGCTAAGAATGTTTGATCCTGCATCATTAAGATTGCTATTCTATTACCTATATACATTGCATAAATTCTTCTTTGTAGGGAGGGCAGGTATGTGTAGATTTTGCAGATTTTGAAATTGTTACATCCTATATGACATTTCAGGGCATAAATGGTGCAGTTCGAGATGAAATGCTGTTGCAACTTACAGTCCCTGTTATCTTTGTGCAGGTAAAAGCATCTAATTTTTGTTTATTTTCACTGAAAGAGCATCTACTTGCATTCACAGAATATGATATTCCAAAAAGTAAATTACTTAATTATCCAGTGTTTCACTATGTTTTAAGTTGGTAAATAGAATCTTCATGCCACATATAAAGTTAAACCTGTATCATACTTACTGATTCAAAAATATACCCAACTCTATATTTGGACTTAAACTGGTCTGAAAGTGAGTATTTAACAGCCCCACTTTATTTTATCTTGCACTAAATTGCAGTTTCTGCTGGAATTTCGTTGTGCTTATTTAAAAGTCTCCATTTTTAAATATCTAACATTGGATCGATATCCATTCCTTTTTGGTGGAAGACATACTTTCTCGTACTGTGACCGCATATAACATGCTATTGTTGTTTGTGTAGGGTAGCAAAGATGGTCTCTGTCCACTAGAATTGTTGGAAGTTGTAAGGAAGAAAATGAATTCTGTTACTGCTTTGCATGTGATCGAAGGTGGTGATCACTCGTTCAAGATTGCAAAGAAGCATCTACAGTCTATAGGATCGAACCAAGAGGCAGCAGAAGATCAAGCCGTTCAGGCCATTGCGACTTTCATATCTAGTAATCTAGATGAAAGATGACCATTCGATGCTCAAGCTTTTTTTGAACCTTTAAGGTGAAATGAACCATAGTATGTGTTATCTCTTGTCTTGGCATTTTCTCTACATACTTTATTGCCTTTTGCAATGGTAGTCAGTCGCATATTTTGTTTTGTTGGTTTGGGAATATTGCGCCTGTGCTCTATGGAAATTTTAGTTACGGATGTGCATCATTTTGTAAATTTGATAGTAATTCCTTTTTTCAATGTGAAAATAGGTAGCTTGATAATATGGATCTCGGACATAATATAATATATCTGAATCATTACAGCAAAATGGTACTCTGCTTCTGAAAATGAATAAAGAACCCATGCAACCAAATATAATTTCATGTTCAATTCCATCTTCCAAGCAAAAAGATTGTAAATATTAAAAGAATGCCATAGCAAAAGAAGTTGCAATCAAAGACATCAATACTGAGATAAGACCATGGAAAGTACGAACGAATATTACATAATGAATTTAATTACATCTCTAGCATTGTGTAGAAACTACGAAGTCCATCTGGTAAGATCTAGGATGACAATTTTACAAAATCATGGACAACGAGAGGAAACTCGACCTTTTGAGCAAGACTTTGGCAGAGAAATTACTATTGGACAACATGATATATACATGTGCAACTGTGGCAAGGGGAGAGTACCAGGACGATAACATTTGTATCCCTTAGATTGATGACTTCTCCTCCCCTTCAATTCCAGATGCAGTCTTGGATTCATTTTCTTCCTCCTTTTTCACCTTTCTAAGAGCCTCCCTCAGACCCAACACGATGAACAAGTTTGTCAAAGTGAGCAGTGACTCAGCTCCACCATGCAACCAATCGACATTGGACAAGGATGTCCCGTAATGCACCTTTGCTGTCCCAAGAGTACAAATAAAGAAATTTTATACTAAAATACGAGGTTTGCTTCATATAATCATTGGACTAAGTAGGAAAAAGTTACCGTATATTCCTGCTGGTACTGTGCCGTGGAGGTGATGCAGCAAGCGTAGACAAGGAAAGGGTCAGTTATAGCATTATGCACTTTGACAGTATAAACTGTTGTGGTTAAAGCGATTTCTCCAAACATTAGGGATCAAACAGAAAGATTACAAAGTACATTGTGACAGCCAGAGTGCCCTTAACTTAAGTAAAAACTCAATGTATCGCTCTCGGACAAAGCACATCGACATTCGTTATCATTGGATAAGAGAGGTGATGGATCAACAGCTGTTGAGACTAGTGAAGATTCACACCCATGAGAATCAAATAGATATGTTTACAAAAGTGGTTCCAAGGGAGAAGTTAGAGCTATGTAGAGACATAGCTGAGTTGGTTGTCAGATAGCAATTGATTCAAATGCGATTGGAGAGGGAGAATTGATATGTTTCAGCCTCACTTGTGCCATAATTTCCAGATGCAATTGAATTTCTTCCAACTTCTATTTTGACTCTTAGCCACAATTTCATCTCTTAATGTAAAAGAATCCACATACATGGATGAAGAAGAAAATTTGAATTAAAACTCTCCATCTGTTGACAGACACAATTTTTAACTTCCTTGATGACCAAGTCTCCCACATGCATGGCTCTAAATTGTCCAACAAGGCTCACACATGCAGTTCACGTTTTACTCATATAATCAATTAAACGGCAGGTTTTGGACCAAATTTTTGAGGCGGTTGGCTGGCATCTTATTCTTCTTCAGGCGGCAAATTTTGGGCCATTAATTGAGGCGGTTTGCAGCCTCATTTTCCCTATAAATATGGTTATTTACAAGGAGAAAATTATGCCCCAAGAGAGAGGGAAATATCCATAAAGAGGAAGAAAAATAGAGTATATAGAAGAGAGAAAACAGAGAGATTAGAGAGTGACTTTTGAGAGAGTTTGTAATACTCTATCGTAAATTCTATTCAAGATAGAAATAGAATTGTTTTTCCTCTTCCATCTTCTCTTCTCCGTGATCGAAGAGCAACAAAGTTGTCACCTGGAAATCTCATCTCCGTAGTCTATAAAGATGCATGGAGTGGTCCTTGCATCTAGCTTTTGTCTTAGCTCCTTCGATACATGTGCAAAGGTTAAACAGTTAAATACTCTCAGGTGAGAATAGGAGGGATATTTACCAGATCATACTTTCTCCGAAATTTCAAAATTCAACGGTACTGATGGTGATCTGTTGATCAAGTAGCAGGCAGTTCGAACAGCTTCTCCCCAAAATGGCTTTCCCCAAAATTGCTTTGGCAACTTAGCCATACTTATCATGCTTCTGACATTTTCCATGATCATTCAATTCATCCTCTCGGCGACTCCATTATGTTGTGGGGTGTGTGGGATTGTCTTCTCATGTCGAATTCCGTATCTTCTGCAATAGGCATCGAACTCTTTAGAAGTGTACTCGCCTCCATTATCTGTGCGGAGACACTTCAGCTTCTTTCCTATTTCACGTTCTACCATGACATGAAATGATTTGAAAATATCGAATACTTGGTCCTTCGTCTTCAAGAAATATACCCACACCTTTCGAGAAGCATCATCAATGAATGTGAAAATATATTTGTTACTGCCTAGTGATTCAATCTCCAAGGGACCACAAACATCAGAGTGTACTAGATTGAGCAACTCTGATCGTCTCGTAGAAGAGAAATTGAAGGAGACTCTATGTTGCTTACCAGATAGACAGTGACTACAAGGATCCAACGCAACTTCCTTGGCAACTGTGATTAGCTCAAAGTAGACAATCCCTTCTCACTCGTGTGACCAAATCTCTAGTTCCACAAATTTAGAGAAGCTTCACGTTCTACTACGTTGAGACTATCCACATGCATTTTCACATGAGTCTTGTATAAAGTGCCACATATATGTTCTCGAGCGACAACCATGGAGCCTTTCATCATTTTTCGTGTACCGTTGCTAAAGTGATTGACATAGCCCTGTTTGTCAAGGGCTATCCCTGAAAGTAAATTTAGCCGAAGATTAGGTACATGTCGAACATCCTTCAGGGTTATTTTACATTCGAGGTTCGTTTGTATCTGGACATCACCAATTCCCACGATCTTAGAAGAACTGGTATTTCCCATCTTCACTACACCAAAGTCGCCAACTTTATATGTTGTGAAGAAATCTCTGCGTGGAGTGGCGTGGTAAGATACTTCAGTGTCTATTACCCACTCAATATCTTGATTTGAGACATGAAGACAGACCCTCATGAATGGAGCAGATAGCCACCTCCTTAGAAATAGTGACTAGTGTCTATCCTTTATTCTTCGGCTGCAAATTGTTCTGGCCTTGCTCTCGTAGCAATTTTCGACAATTCTTCTTCAAGTGGCCCTCCATACAACAATAGTAGCACTTGTAAGTATGCTTCCTTCCATCTATAGATTTACACCTACTTTTGCTTCTGCCTCGAACGTCTCCTTGGTGTCTTCCTCGGTTCACTGTGACAACGACATGTGATTGGTCTGTGTCTACGTCTTTTCTCCTGGCCTCTTCGTTAAATAGGGCATTCTTGACCATAGCCATGGTAAGTTTGCCATCAGGGGCCGAATTGTTAAGAGATACTACTAATATCTCCCAATTATCAGGAAGAGAACTTAAAAGTAGTAGGACTTGCATTTCATCCCCGAGCGACATCTCCACAGATGACAATTGGTTCACCAAGCTCTGAAATTCACTAATGTGCTCATCAACTGAAGTTCCACCCTTTAACTTTAGAATCACCAAACGCTTCATCAACAGGGCTTTACTCCGAGCGATCTTGGCCTGGTACATGTCCTCCAGAATCTTCCAGAGGGCATATGCATCTGTCTCTTATGCTACATCGTGAAAAACACTATGGTCAATCCATTATCGAATTTGATCGATAGTTTATCTATTTAGCTTCTTCCACTCCATCTCCTAGGTAGGATCGGGGTTTACACCTTTGGTTTCTAGAGGGTCATACAAATCCTTACAACTGAGGAGGTTTTCCATCCGAGGCCTCCACAGTGTGTAATTGGTGGCGGTGAGCTTGATCATAGCTCCCAATGAAGATTCCTCCATTGACATCTTGGCTTCTAAACGTTTTATCAAAAACGAAGTTGTATCCAAAAACTACAATGGCCAATTGACAAACTTGGTTCGGATACCACTTGTTGTGGTTCTCCAATCACGAAGAAGAGAAGATGAAAGAAGAAAAACAATTCTATTTCTATCTTGAATAGAATTTACGATAGAGTATTAAAACTCTCTCAAAAAAACCTCTCAAAAGTCACTCTCTAATCTTTTTTTTTTCTCTTTTCTATACACTCTATTTTTCTTCTTCTCAAGGGATATTTCCTTCTCCTTAGGGGCATACTTTTCTCTTTGTAAATAACCATATTTATAGAGAAAATGAGGTTGCAAACCACCTTAATTAATGGCCTAAAATTTGTCGTCTGAAGAAGAATAAAATGCCAATCAACCGCCTCAAAAATTTGGTTCGAAACCTGCCATTTAATTGATTATGGGAGTAAAACGTGTGCTGTATTTGTGAGCCTAATTGGACAATTTAGAGTTATACATGTGGGAGACTTGGTCATCAAGGAAGTGAAAAATTGTGGTGTCAACGGGTGGAGAGCTTTAATTCAAATTTTCTTCTTCATTCATGCATGTGGATTCTTCTACATTGAGAAATGAAATTGTGGCAGGGAGTCTGGAAGAAATTCAATTGCATCTGGAAATTGCGGCACGAATGAGGTTGGAACATATCATAAACATGTATAATACCGAAAAAACAAATGAATTTTAATTAAACAGATAGACATGGAACATATTTGTTATTTAAATTTAATCTTCAATGCTACTCCTCACGTACATACCGAATTCGAGTCTCGTTAAGGACATGACAAAGGCACAATACTAATGCCATATTCATCCACAATATGGAACAAAATTAAGTTATATAAACACATAAGCATGGGTTTAACAAAAAGAAAAGGAACTCACTGGTGGCACCAACGAAGGCCAGCAAGAAGTAGAATCCAAAAAGGGTGAGTTTTGGGGCAGACTTGGATTTGGTGATGAAATACAAGAAACCCAGATAAGGAAACAGAGAGAATGCAAAGAGCTGTGAGGCTATGCTCTCTGAATCAATATTGGGTGCCCATGGATCCACTGGCAAAATAAATCCATTACACAAAAACCCTTTCCCCTTTCTATGAATTCTTCTTCTTTCATATTCTATTTCAGTATCTGTACAGTACTTGAATTGCCTCTGGGGAAAAATATAGGTTTTTCTGCTGCAGGGATTCCGGTGGAAATTAAAACAATTGGGCAACAAGTAAGAAGAAGAAAAACGCATAAATTTGGGGTTTTTGAAAAGGGATTGAATTTGCATAGAGCTTATCATTATGAGGGAATTAGTTTTTCCTTTTTCTACGGCTGAGTATTACTCATACGCTATCATGTAGCAGAATGAGAGGCGGTACCAAATGGGGAGTTGAGTGGAGCCCATAGAGTGATCTTCATTAGTCCGGTTTTATTTGGAAAGTACTTTAAAAAATATTAATTTTAGAAACCTTACATGAAGTTTATGATAATTTTAGAAATATTTTTTTAAATAATTTAAAATTTTCAAAATCGATCTGAAATTGTTTTTAATTAGAGATTCTTTCCTTATTAGTCAAAAGCATATTTTAATTTTTTATTTGTCCTCAGTCCTCAGTTATTAATTTGAATCTATTATTGAATAATATTTTATATACTAATCTATTCTCTTATTTCCTTCATTTCTTCAGATTTTTTGTTTAAATGCTAACATTCTCTTTTGCTAAAATAAATATTATTAAATTTTATGCAATAATTTTTTATTCAAATTATATTTTTATCTCTATTTTTAGTATTGTTCATAGTCATAGAAATGATAATGGAGCGAGAGCGAATTAGGGATGGCCATCCCCGTCCACTGTCTTGTCGAGGAGTTACGGGCAATGGGGTGGGACATGGTAAAATATTTTGTAGAAATTAAAAAATTTCTCACCTAGATTTGCCATGTATAGAATCTTTTATTTTATTTTGTTTTTATGTTTTTCAATCCAAATTGAATTAGAAAATAAAAATTAGGGGGTGTTTGATAGGTATTTTTATGTAAAAATATATTTTAGAATAATAAATTGATGTGAAATGTGTTGTTGAAAAATAAGGAAAAATTTTTTATTTACGTGTAATATTATTAATAAAAAATATGTGGTTGAAAAAAAAAGAGAGAAAAATACATTTTAAAGAAAATGGCTACCAAACGGGATCTTAATATGGCAAAATTTATAAATAATTAAGTGGGATGATAACGAAAATATTTTAATCTCCAGCTCGTCCTTGCCTCCTAAAAGTTCCCAGCTGAATGGGGATCGACTCGCTCTGTCTCATTATAATCATGTATCCTCGTTTACTTATTTATTTAGTCAATATTTGGTTTCCATTTTCTAAACTCATTTTTTTTTCCAAATTCACTTTTAATTAAACATTTAAGATGTGTTTGATTGTCAATATTTTTCATGAAAAATGTGTTTTTTCACACAGATTCCTACTTCTGTGTTTGACTGACATTTTTTTTATGAAAAAATATTTTCCTATTTTTTGTCACGTGACCATATTATCCTCAAAATCAAGGAAAATTAAATCAATAAAACATATATAATTGATAATTTCCATGCAAATAATTTCTAGTCAATTGAGTTATCTATAATTTATTTATTTTTTTTCGTGTAAATTCCATACTTGCAATTAAACGTATTCTTAATGATATTAATAATTTTATCAACTTTTCAGTTACATATTTTATTCAAAAACTCTGACTTTTAGCTAAACCAAACACGGGCTTAATTTAATAGTTTTTATTTTTTAATATGCAATTTTTTTCTTATTATTTCTAGCATCACTTTTTAGTTTTTAATAGGTAGCCGAAGAAAATTATAACTTAGTTGAATCCTTAACCTAAAAAGTTAAACATAACTATCTCGATAAATGTCGGAGAATGTATTAATATGGTCGAGAACAGTAAATATATATCAATCTCTTGATCTTGCCCCTGTTTGAGCTCCATTTTGGGAAAAGAATACATTTTGAATCATAGATTGAGAGAGAATGTGTAGTTAAAGTTAAGAAAAAATTTTGAATTTGCATATAATATTATTTTATTGAAAAATTGATAGAGAATGAATTTTAAAAGAATGAGGTTCAAACAAGGGCTTTAAGCATGAATCTAAATTTGATAGTTTCTTTTTTATTTAAAATGTTCCTCGAAAGTACAAAAAAAGAAAGGTAAGAAAGTATCCTCAATGAGAATAAATAATTTTGTAATCCACTCTTCAAATTAAATTTGATTTAAAAGATTACTAAAAAAAGATAAGAGAGAACAATTTTTATCTACAGCAAGAATCTTTTATATCTTTTAAGTAATTTCGAGTAATCTTTTAAATCAAGAAATGAGTTGGTAGGAAAAGTTGAGCAGAAATTTCGTGAATCAAGCCAGCTTGTGCTCAACTCATTTCATTTGCAAGTACAAACTGACTCACTTTGCGGGTTGAGTCGAGCTCGAACGTAGACAAGCTTAATAGCTTGGATCAATCCATTTAACAGCCCTAGGGGCTATACCAATCACTCCAACACCATGAACTTCTCACCTTCTCAACCACCAATTTGACCTTTACTTTTCCAATTCTTAAGTAACATGCTAGGCTGGTGGAAGTTTGAGACCTCGATCATTAGTAATCAAAGGTCCAAGACCCTATCATCTCAACCTTAAAAACTCGTGACTCAAATAATGAACTTTGACCTATTATATAACGAATTAAACCACTCAATCTGCACCAATGACCACGGGATGACAGCGCCCTCACATGGGATGAGTAGGTCCCTCGTGAATTAAAAAATCCCCACCCCCATGTGTGTGTACGGTAATCCTCGCGGTCACTCCTAATGTTCGTGTAGCATAACCCATTATATGACATTCCAATTTCCCAAATGTATACGTCCCATTAGTTGACTTAAATCAAGAGACAATTTATGACTTGTCTTATGCTAGGTTGATAGTTTCTGTCAACTAGCTAGCTTGACATCAAAATATTCTACTAATTTGGAGTAGAAACTAACTAGAAAGTAGAAGGCTATTCCAATGCCTTTTAAATTGTTGTTCCTTGTTAATATTATTAAAAAAGAAATTTTTATTAATAGTTGGGGACGTTACCCGTCAACCGTGTGAAGTTAACTCATATTTCGAAATGCCCGCCCGTAAAATTGCTCAGCCACCCGAAAGAGAGAAAAATAAATAAACAGAAGTATCTCCTTGTTTGGGTAAAGTAATTTTGATGAACTTTCATAAGTAATTTACTTTATTTTGTAAAAAATAAATACAAGCATATGAGTAGAAACAATGCTGATAAATTAATCAGCCCATTGTTAGATTTTCTTATTAATTCTTCATAAACCAATCCGAGCAAGAAAACTATAAAATCTATTCCTTGCCTTCTTTACCTTGTCTTTGATATGGAAAAACTTCTTCATCTTCATGATAGTTGTTTCCTTCTCTGATGATCTTGATGTGCTCGACCCGTGCCTTTCAGACGAAGGCAACACCATCACATGAGTCTTTGATGTACTCGATTGAAACTGACTCGATAAAATAGACAAAGGCAACACCATCATGTGTCGCTCGATAAAGTAAGTAAATGAAACTAACTCATAAGAATCATACAAAGGACTCCCACAATCCCATATAGATACAGCAGCTTGGTCTTGTTCTTCTTTCTCCATAAGTATTCAAGATACAAATCAAATACTTATTATAGAACTTGCAATAACTTGTTTGTTGAGAGAAATTTAATATTTAGAAATTTGAATTATATATAAAACTAATGAAGGACACTTGGAATCATAGTATTGGATGCAAACAATTGTAGTTAGGTAAGAGTTGTTAGCTTAACATTTTTCTTGTGGTTCTCTCTGTGAGGTACCTAACAACACACTGCTCTGATGCATGCAACTCAACTTCTCTTTTCCTCTCCATTCTAATTATAATAAGACTTACTATTAACCTCAATTAAGATATAGTTGGTACGTTAGACAAAATTGAAAATTTTATATATTATCCACAAGATCGGCCTAGTACTTATCTTTCCACCGCCTCTGAGGCATACCTGCGTATTGAGATCTTAAGTAGATGAACTAAACGTTGATGCTACAAGCTCGACCAACAGAAATCAAAGATGCTCTTATTACGCCATTGCCTCTCTACATAAAAAGTATGAGAATTTAAATAAACAGAGTAACAAATTCGATTAACGAGTCTAAAAATGCTCTTGTTTCATTTTCCTCATTGGTTCACTTGTTCTTGTCAAAATCACCACACTGACTGTTTACATTGGTTGCAAGTACCTAAAAATTGAAATAGAGAAGCCATTTTAACCTATTAAGTTGAACCATTTCCATATTTGGTGGAGGTTCAATTCATTTAACAAATAATATGGTACTCAGATGTAACTTGATTGGTAAAAATTAGGCCGAATTTGGTTGTCACAAGATTAGATGATAGAAGCTTATAGTACTCAAATTCAAATGTAGCGATTTCACGTTGTTTCTTTGAGACATATTTGCTTCTTCCAATTTTGTTCTTGTACACACAACTTAATTTACCGTGTATGAATAAATTTCACTCTAGGTCCCATTTGCAACAGAATCCACACAGACATCAACAGTTTCCTCCTCTTAAAGAATCACAAAGACTCAACAATTTACACTTTGAATCTGAAACTAGAAGTTACAAACATGGCCGGTCCTGAGGCAAGGCAAATGAGGCCCTCACCTCAGGCCCAAGACCATAAGGGGCCTCATTTCAGCCCAAGTCCCCCCCTCCCCCTTCAAAACAAGGTAAAACAGTCCAGATCTAATGGTGTGGGATTTGATGTAAATTTATTGAAAACAAGATCTAAAATGGTTAAATTTGGAGTTTATTTTCTTGAAAATGATGTGAAATTCGATGAATTTTATAAACGAATGTCTATAAATATTCATGTCGTTGTCTTATTTTTGTACAAAAACTTTGTGAAGATAGATATTTGTGTGATTGTATTTGTTAAATCCATGTCGTCGTCTTATTTTTGTACAAAAACTTTGCGAAGATATTACTACATTTTACAATTCTTTCATTCTAAATCTACTTTAAAAGGGATAGAAAGTCATATTTTAATCTATATGTATATTTTTGTTTAATTTTAGTTGATAATAAATCTTTAGTCAATTATGTCGATTTCTTAATTTGCACTTCCACACTTGGCACAAGTTCCTTAACTCTATGATTAAATCTTTGGTTTTGTTATTTTATAATATATTTGGTTGTTATTTAAATGCTAGTTTTAAATTAGCAATAGGTCGCATAATATACTTTGAATTTTACATTTACGTTGATTTCGTCGGGGCCTAATT